TTGATCAAAAATATCATACTTTTATMGCATAACCACACATGTTTTCACACATTTGTGCTTTTTAAAAGGTGTCAATACTGTTCTTAAACTAAGTTGTGTGCTAAACCTTCTTCTTTTTTGTCATTTTGATGCTCTAAAGCGCCAAAAACAAAACTGACCTAATTTGCATAATTTGCGACGGAAAAGCGTCGCAAATCCAGTCGATTCCTCCAGAGTCTTTCCGGCGACTAGTCAGCATACCGCTGACATTAGCCGTGAAGACTCTCGGCTCGAGATTGAACAGATACGGATAAGAAAAACTTTTACAGTCGGCCAGTCTCTCGATGATTATAAAGTCCTTACTACTATTCATAATTATTTTGTATTATTAGTTATTTGACTATTGATATACTTAGCTTAGCCATCTTGATGATTTGCTGCCCGAGTTGACCTTGTATTTGGTCGACTATCAGTGTCGGAATCTGGAGGGGGCCAAATTCTACGCCATTGGTTTGTAGATAGGCTTTGACTTCCATGTCCTTCTCGGTTGATCTTGGCTTTGAGAGTTTCAAGGGTATCCATTCCTGTTACTCGGATGACCGTAGAATCCTCCGTTTCTTTCAACAATATAGTCGAGTTTCTTGTCCAGCAGAATGTAAACTTGTGCTCCTTTTGGAATTCTTTAGCCTTGYTGAACAGATCCTGGGTTTTAGGACTAAGATGATCAAAAATTCTGATCTTGTCAGCGTTCTCCCATTCAATATTTCTTATTTCTTTCCTTGATCTCATGACAGATTCTTTAGCAAGGCGTCTGGTGAATTTACATATAATCGTTGGCGGGAAGTTCGAAGCTCTACGGTTCGGCACACGGTGTGCGATGTCGATATCTTGTTCTGTAACTTGAGCGTTGATTGAATTAAAKAGTTTCAAACATATATCTGTTGTTTCTTGAGCGGTTTCAAAGCGGTTGGTTTGAGGTATTCCGATAATCTTCAGGTTGTACTGATAGCTGTAATTATTTATGGCGTCSATTGCTTCRTCGACTTTATTGATGCTTTCTTCAAGACATCTAAGYCTAGACGATATTCTTGTTAACTCTCTCTCGATGTCAACTTTAAATGATTTCAAATCGTCATATTCTTCAGCAAGAAAGGTGATACTTTTGTCCATTTCGTCGACTTTTTCTTGATTGCTAGAATCCTTGGATGTTACGAGCCCAGATTGTTGTAATTTATCTTTAAGTTCTTGTAACTCTCGAGTCACTTCTTGTACTTGTGATTTTAGTTTGTCGTTCTCTTTCTTTAGTTTCGATGTACTACTACTCTTAGACATTTTAAAGACGCTTTAAAATTTAGCGAAATTGAAATTAGAAATTTTTAGCTGAGGAGCTAATTTGGACGCGTCCGTCTCGTTCGACTGCTCCCCATGTGATTATTAGTATCATATCTCCTACCAGTATTGAATTTGCTTGACTAGGATAACTTTGGGAAATTCTCATATTATATGATGAGGTAGTACAAATAATCAAGCCGCCAATAGCAACACAACTCAAATTATAAATACTTTACAAATATAATTTTAAGTAACGATTTATGAATACAGGTTTTTCTTCATTAAAATCTTATTATTTTAACTTCGATTTTTGACAAACAGAGGCGAGCGCTTGCCAGTTAAAAGACAAGTCTAGCCGCTTTTGTGTAACATGAACACGCGTAAAAAAATAAATAAAAGTAGCTGAATTAACTTACTGACGTTTCGGAAGTTAATCCTTCGTCGGAGTAAAGAAATGGAACTAGGTAAAGTATGAGTTTATATAATAACAGTGGCAAAGAAAGTAGATCAACAGGACACGATATCACATGATATCACAGATACCACATTTGTAAACGAATAGTTTTTTTATCACATAAAAGTGCAAGTAGAATCTGACATTTCCTAACGATGTATTCGTACATCTATACGTTTGAGCTTCCGGTCATGTAATAACACAGCTAACCCAATAGTTAACTATAAATTCCGGTGGTCCAAACGCGACATAATAGATAGATAGATAGATAGTTCAATATGCTTTATTAACATGACCTCAACATTTACAGGTATTGTTAAAGCGTAGCTTATATTTGAAAAAACAAAAAAGATAATTATGATAATATAACAATTGCATATTGTTATTTTTTCTACAGTGATAAAATATCACAAAAAAACATATTAATATATTGATATAAAGATATATATACAGCCTTTTGCACAAATTATGAGACATTTTTATATATATAAATATACCTAACCAAATATCAAAAACACCCAAGAAATTATGGGATACCGTCGCTGATATTTTGTCTGTAACAACCTGATGCTAGGCAATCATGACAAAATATAATAGAGATATACCATAATTTCTGGGGTGTTTTTGATATTTGGTTAGGTATATTTATATATATAAAAATGTCTCATAATTTGTGCAAAAGGCTGTATGTAATATATACAATATGAGCGGGCGATCTGTATGAGGATTTAAAACAGCGAGCTGAAAGCGAGCTGTTTTAAATCCTCATACAGATCGCACGCGAATATTGTATATTACTTATGAAACGTTAAGGTAAATTAGCTCAGGTTTTAAAGAAACTTTTGAAAAAAAATTCAATCTGACTGAGAAAATCTGAGTAA